CCAGAGTTTATTTCTACCTGTCTTTCTTTAAACTTTTCTTTCCATATTTTTAAGGGGTACAACATAATGCTTTGATATACATATACGTTGTGAAATAATGACCATAATTAAGATAGATACCCATCATCAGACTTAGGGGGAGGGGGGGCAAGGGCAACATACTTAACCTAAACATCTGTACCTCCATAATATGCTAAAATAAAAAAAAATAGATATCCATCATCTCCCATAGTTAACTTTGTGTGTGTGTGTATGTGTGTGTGTGGTGAGAACACTTGAGATTCTACTCTCTTAGCAAATTTGAAACATACAATATATTTTTATTAACTATAGTCACCATGCTGTATATTAGGCCTCCAGAACTTATTCATCTTATAACTGAAAGGTTGTACCCTTTGACCAATGTCTTGCCTTTTCTCCCACTCCCCAGCCCCTGGTAATCACTATTCTACTCTTTGTTACTCTTTTTTAGGAGTTTGACTTCTTTTCCCAGTCTCCCCATATAGATTAGATCATGTAGTTATTTGTCTTTCTGTGACTTGCTTATTTCACTTACTATAATATCCCCCAGGTTCATCCATGTTGTCACAAATGAGGGGATTTCCTTCTTTGTTAAGGCTGAATAACATTCCATTGTGTGTGTACAGTTAGATGGATAGATAGATAGAGATATATCACAACTTCTTCAACCATTCATCCATGAATGGACACTTAGGTTGTTTTCATATCTTGGCTAGTATAACTCTTGCAGTCTCTTTGGCAGCCATTCCTGTCCTCTCTCCCGAAGAAGGGGCTTTATTACACTCTAAAAATGTCCTAAGACTATTGTTTAGAAGCAATTGTTCATCTTTGCAAGTTCTTCAATAAACTCAATGATGGAACACTTTGGCTTCTGCTCTTCCTTAGACAGTACAATCTCAGTTGAGATTTTCCAGTTAATTTAATAGTTCCAAATCTCTGCCAGATTGAAGAGAATGGATTTGTGTTGTAGACTGTTGTTGTTGCTGCTGCAAATGTTACCCTTGTGATTTAGCTATTGTTGGGTCTATATTAGATATGAATTGTGCAGGAACAATAAATTTAACTTGAGCTCTGAACTTCCAAAGGGCTTTTTTTTTCCTTTCAGGCTATTGTTTGTGTGCTTCACAATTGGCTTGCTCAATAAAAAGAGTAAGACTTTAGGTGTGACTTTTTTAATCACATGGAAATTCATGTAAGTATTTTCAAACGGATTTCATCTTTTGGGACTGGATCTCCCTCTGTCACCCAGGCTAGACTGCAGGGGCAGAATCACAGCTCACTGCAGCCTCAAACTCCTGGGCTTAAGTGATCCTCCTTGCCTCAGCTTCAGGACTAGCCGGGGCTACAGTGCTGAGCCACCACGCACAGCTAATGTTTTTTTTCTTTTTTATTAGAAAAGCAAGCGTGTCTCACTATGTCCCCTAGACTCCTCTTCAACTCCTGTCATCAAGGGATCCTCCAGTCTTGGCTGCCCTGGTCGCTTGGATTACAGGCGTGAGCCACCACACCCAGTCTTATATTTATTTCTAAATAAAAGAGTACTGGAATCTGATTTAAACGAATGGAAATAAACAATACAGTTAGAATTTATCAGAGCATTGTAAAAATATTTTTTCCAAACTACATTGTTTCAAAACTGACCCTGATTTCCAGATTTAAAAGTTATGAAATAAGACAGTAAAACCAGGGCCAAATAGTCAAATGCCTAATTTTAAATCAGTAATTTTCTTAGCGACTTTTGTTATATCATACTGTTTAGTCCTAAAATACAGGAAGTTCCAGGGATAGTAGGAGGAAACCTAAGCAATTAGTGAACGCGAAGTTCTAAACTTCCTTCAGTTCACTCAGTAAATGGGGATAGGCTCACAGAATGGCTTTGCATTTCGCACCTGGAGACTCCAGTCTTTAGAAAGAACTCTAGAGAAAGCCCTCACCTCCCTGCCTCATTCCTGGAAGTTTCTATCAGGGAACCAACCGGCTCCGGTGTGCCAAATGAAATGGGAGGAGGAACAGTTTGCGCTCCTAGTAGCGGAGTACAAGTGGAATTCCACTCATAACTTGGTCCGGATTTTCTGCTGGTTGCTTGTGAAATCACCTGGTGAATTTGCCAGAATGAATTAATTTTCACTCATTTAACTTTGGCAAAACACCTACTAGTGTGCCTGGCATGATGTTAATCATCAAAGAAAAGGGTTTTTAGTTTTTTTTTTTAACTTTTGCCTGAAGCAAAACGCCAGGCACTTCCTACAATCTCCAGCACTTGAATGAGTTAATCTCCGTCCCTCCCTTTCCGGAGAAAAGAACCTTTGAAGTAAAGATTGAAATTGCTCCAGGCTCCACTAGCGCCCTCTGGGTGCGGAGTCTGGTTAGCGCCCCAGGGCACCAGCCTGGGGTTTGTAACCGCCACAGGTTTCATAGCCAGGAATTGGTGTCTGTTCTCAAGGTTGAAGGCACACACACACCCAGGGGCAGAGTTGGAACCCACGCACCGGCATGGTCGCTTCCTTGAACTTTTTGCGGTCACCATTGCATGAATGAAAGCCATGAGTTCTCTCCTTAGGAAAAAGAGCATCGCAGACACCTCTTTACCAACGATTTCAGGAGATTCCTATGTTAGAAACCTCCGGTCTTGAAAAAGGAAGTCATTTCCGCAGAAGTATTTGGTAACTGAGCACAGATACGCTTCTGCAGCAGCACCAGTGGCAGGGGACCGCGCACCGCTCACCACTAGTGGCCGCCCTGCGGTCTTCACAACTCGGCACCAAAAGATCAGGCGACGGCTGGAACCTAAACCGCGGGAAAGTCCCAAAGCTGCGGACTCAGTCTCAGCAGTGGGTGTCTGTCTAGGGGCTCCAGGGCTCACTGTGCCCGCGATCCGCCATCCTACATCCTGCCCAAAGCGCAGCTCCCCTTTCTCACTCTGTGCCTGGCTCGCGCCCCCGCCCTCCCAAGCCAGTTGGTCCAGCCCCCAGAGCCCTGGGCCCCATTGCCGGCGGGCCTGGGAATAACCAGTCTGGGACATTCAGTCCCAGCCCCGAGTTTTTATTGCCTTGCAGTAGTGCCCCCAGCCCCCTGAAGTTGAAAGGGAGAGTCAATGTAGGGCATCTGGGAAGTTAGGCATTCCTGCTGCCTCCTTGAGCAGGGAGGTCACCAACCCAGGAGGGTAAAGAGATGTAGCACCAGGCAGGATGTCCTAGGAAATAGCTGATTCTGGAGACTGAGGTCTGGGATGTGGACTGGACCTGGGGCTACCTAGAATTCCCAGGCTAGGGCCATTCACAGCACACCTGAGGGCTAATTTCTACTCTGCCTGGGGAACCACAAAGCCTGGGTTTTCGCTTCCCCGCACAGCCCTGAATGCCTCTGCAGCGCTCACCACACTGGCAGCCTCTAGACAGGCTGATGAGGATTGAGCCCTGCACTCTCAGACCCAGAGATCCCCGGAACGCCCACATGCTTCTTTCTGCTTTCCCTAGCCACTGCAGACAGCAAATGCCTTAGTCCGGACCACCCCTTCTGGGCGCACCTGGAGCTGAACGCTCAGGCAGAGCGGTCCTGAAGCCAGGTTGGGCTGGGTGTCAGTGTGATGAGTGTGCTGGAGCGCGCCTCTTGTTGAGAGTGTGTGTAGGAATGATGTGAGCAGGTTATCATCACGCCGATGTGTGGATGCCACTGCACGAGAGACTCAGAGGCAGGCTTGCCACATGTTTGAGAGTGAACCCCTAAGGATACCCCCGTGAGCCAGTGTCTGTTTTTTGTGTCTCCCTGCTTGGCGGAGCGGGCACGTTTGGAGACAGTAGTGAGTTTATGCGTTTGCATGACTGAGACTGGAAGTGAGTGTGAGTTTTAGTCCAGGCAAGGACTCCACACCACTGTCAAGCTCGCCTGCCCTTTAGTGGAGACAGGAGTGCAGGGGCGGGGTTTGGGGCAGAAGCCAATGCTACTTGGACATCTTGACAAACACCAGCCTGAAGCAAAGGGGTAGCTGTGCGAATGATGTGGGCAGGCGGACTGAATGCGAGGGGATGGGTGGCAGAGTGAGGGGCGGGCTGGAAGTCTGGATGGAGGCTTGGGAAGCATCTGTCCCTTGCACCTCACTCCTCAGGCCCAGCTGGGCGTTGGCCCCCTCCCCACACTTGTAACAGACCTGAACAGCACCCTGACCGCCCAACGTGAGTGCAAGCAGTCAGGCGAGGTGGGGATTCAATATCAACAGAGATTTTTACGGAATCCTGTATGTGGACCAGGAAACTCTTCTAGATCCCTGCCTAGTTGGGGGCCAGGCACTGGGATATTTCTCAAAACCTTTCTTCAAGATGGGACTATGGTTTGCATTTCATTGAGGCTCTGAGAAGTTATTTGTCCATGATCATACAGTCTGGAATTGGCGCAGCTGGAATCGAGCTCAGAGCTAACAAAGCTCTTACTTCCAGCTGCATCTCCTGCCCTGGCCCTCTGTGGGTGATACCAGCTGCCAGCATCAGGCAGCCTGTTTGGACCTGAAATCCACCCTGCAGTACGTTAACCCTTCAAGCCTCACTTGGGCAAGGGTCTGGGCTCAGACCTGGGGGAGCCAGGAGTCCCTACAATCCTGGACCTTGCCCTCCAAGCCCCACAGCTGGGGGTGGAGTGGGGCACAGGATCAAAACCCAGTGGGACTGGAGGTGAAATCTACCATGACATCAAACGGCACTCAAATTCCTGCTCACTTTAAGGGTGTTTCTCCTTGTTCCCCACCATCCCCCACACACAATTCCACCAATGACCTCAATGCAAATACAAGTTGCGCCACCTGACTGAATCCTCAGGTTCTAGAAGCATGGGGGTAATGATGAAATCTGGCTGGGGCACAGGAGCCCTTTCTCATTGGATGCCTGGCGCTCAGGGACCCCTCCCGACCCACAGCAGGGGAATAAGAGCAGCCACTGGCTCTGGGAGGCATCAGAGCCACTGCCCAGACCAAGAGTCCTGCTGCTTCCCCGGGACCCTCGCTGAACCGAAGCATCGCTGCTGCTGTCCCTGCTGCAAGTCTCTGTCCACCAGGTGAGTCCTCAGATTTCTGCTCAGGTGTGTCTTTCTACTTCTCTCTCGCCTCCCCTTCCTCTCTCTCTCTCCATTAGTCTCTCTTAGTTTGTCTCCCTGCGACTTTCAGTCTCTCTGTCCACTTCTGTCTCAATCTCTTGCAGTCTCTGTTAGTCAGCGATTCACACCAGGCTTCTGTCCCAGGTAGGAGTGGACAGTCTCCTTCTGTTCTGGGAGCGCCATGCTCCGCTCTTCCTGCGCAGCTTCGGACTTCTCACTCTCTCCTCCTGCACACGCGCTTGGGCCAATCTCCCCACACTGGGGGGTCCCAGGCACCATGCACGGAGCAGAACTCAGGAGTTGCTTTCTGCAGACGGTGCATCCAGGGATCGCGTCTGGAGCCTACGGGTCCCCGGAAAATTGGTTCAGAACCTGGGCCAGCAAGAATGAGTGGCAAATGGGCGCAATGACACAGGGACAGGCAGCCCCAAACTGCAAGCCCCAGTCACCAGCTCTGGGAGCACAGACAGAAGTCTGAGATCCCAACGTAAGACTCTCTTAAGCTTGGTTCTTCCAGGAGACTGAGTTTCCAGAGGGCAGAGCAGCTGAGCACTAAAATTGCTTCTTCTGTATCTCAGAGACTCCAATGGGAGAGATATTCCCTCTCTACATATCCCCTTTCTCTCCCCCACCCAGGTGTGTGCAACAGCCCCAAGGAGCACAGCTCTGGGTTTCGTTATGAGAGCAGATGATGTGATAGGGAGATCCCAGAGTGTCCTCCACAGAGACCTGACTAAGGGGTGTGTGTGTTTCTGTGTCTGTGTGTGTGTGTGTGTGTGTGTGTGTGTGTGTGTGTGTGCGTGTGTTTGTGTGTGTGGCTTTGGGGTAGGACTGAGACCTCCCCACCCAGCTGTCCTGCTAGGAACACTCCTCCACCTTTGCGAAACTTCATGCTATAGGCCCACCGGACCTTGCAGCAGTCCACTTTGCCGATGAGAAAATAAAGATGAAGAGAAATGTAATGACCACTCTGAAGCCACAAAACTAGGGAGATACGGGCAGGGCAGAAACAGGACAAGAGTCCACGTATGTGGTTTCATAGAACTTTGAATTGGTACAGGCAGTGACATCATTCTTCCCTTGCAGAAGAGAATCATGGGCTTCCAGAACTTCTCCCTCATCCTAGCCCTCAGCATCTTGGTCCTGTACCAGGTGGGCAGCCTCCAGGCAGTGCCATTCCGGTAAGACAGCGTGAAGCCAAAAGCTCACTTCCCTCCCACTGCCCCTTGGATAGAACCATACCTTGCATCCTAATTTTGGTGTGCTGTGCTGAATGCTTAAAATCCAGGGGCAGGGGCAATTGAGGCGTAGCAGCAGGTATGTATGTATGTGCACACATATATAAATTGTTCTTATATAAGGTGTGTAGCACACAATTTATAAACAGTACTAAGGTATACAATATTCTTTACTATAAATTTCATGTAGCCGATTGAGTCTTAGAAAATGCTTTCATTGCTTTTTACCAAACTTGTGTAGCAGAATTAATTTATTGAATTCAGCCTTGACTTCAGAAATGAATTACATCCTAATCTACTAACTAGTTTGCCAAAAAATTTGGTGTCATTATATCTAATATATGATCTGTTAATCTATGTGTCACCCACATACAAATTTATTAGACTGAAACATTTTTAGAATTTCATCATTTAATTCTTAATAATGGTTTCACTGAACACTCAGCTTGCAAGATTCCTGAAAATTTAAGCATCACCTTTCATGAGCCTGTTATCAACTGGCTCCAGCACATCATTGTTTCGAGATCACACCAGTGCCTGGCTCCTGCTGAGGACACTGACTTCCTGCCCCGTCACTGGGAGTTGGGTTGGTCACCTCCTCAAAGGAGGAGTCAAGGACCAGGAAGCCTGGCTGCATATCCTGGGGAGAGGGTAAGCAGGAGCTCACAGCCTGCATTGGGTTTGCTTCCCTCCCCAGGTCCAACCTGGAGAGCATCCCAGGACTGGATATGCTCAGTGAGGAGCAAGCGCGCCACCTGCTGGCTGCACTGATGCAGGACTACGTGCAGATGAAGGCTGGTGACCTGGAACAGGAGCTGGAGACCCAGAGCTCCAGGTAAGGCTCCCCACGCCACCCAGCACAGGGCCTTCTCTCCTCCTCACACTCAGGAAGCCCAGGCAGGAGAGAACATGCTCACCAGGGTCCAGCATGCTGTGGTTGTCCACCAGGACCTGGGGCCCAGCCAATCTTAGGCTCTATGGGAGTCAGAGGTCCTGGTACAGCTGGAAGGACTATGATTAGACACATTAAAAAACTCCATTTCTGAAAGCTGTTAGGAAATGAAATGGGGAGATGTGGAATGGCTCACTCCAGGAATTCCCCTTGCAGTACAGGCGAGACCTCCTAGAATCGCATGAGTTAAGACTGGTAAAGATGATGTAGATAGAGCTGGTGTATCTCAGGAGATTTTAGAAATTTGGCTCCACCTTGTTTATCTGCAGATGACATTCTTTCACATCTGCGAGGAGCCTTCATCTAAAATTTACAAGGTGAAAGTGAAGCCCTTGCAGGGGGTGGGGATCAAGTAGAGCAGTGTGGGAGGCAGGTCTGGGTCTCAGATTTGCAGCATTCATGGAGATGTGCATGTTCTCACCCGGCCAGCATGGGTACTTTTCCCCAGCACCCCCTCCCGTGCTCCTTGAGCCTGAGCAGAGACCAGCCTGGCCACAGCCCTGCCTGGGCGGAGGCATATGTTGCACCTGTATCCACCGCGAAAAACCCCTCTGCTGAGCATGTAGGACTGAACAGTATGTGGAATGCCAGAAAAGGTCACCCTTCCCCACTCAGCCCTTCCCCACACTGCCCTGGCCCACCGAACCTCTGAGCTCTCCTGATGGAGGATGTGTGAACTGCCCCCCAGCCTGCTCCAATCTCCTGAGTGACTGTCCATGGCGCAGCCCCTGCTGCATGGTAATGTCTGGCACGTCTTTTCCCTGCAGCACGGACAGTGCCAGAACCAGCGGGTGCGGTAATCTGAGTACTTGCCTGCTGGACAAGTTCATACAGGACCTCCACAAGTTAAAAAACTCCAACCGAACTGATACTGGCCCTGGATCACCTGGAAAGAAAAGGGATATGGCCAGACACTTGGAGAGAGACCACCGCCCTCATGTGGGCCTGCCCCCAGATGACAACTAAACTCCTCCCCCTCCTTTCTAATTTCCTTTCTGGCTTCCTTCCTCGACCTTGATGCATGTGGTTCCTCTCTGGTTGCTCTTAGGGCTTTTATCAGTGGCTTTCCTTGTGGCTGAGGATGTCTAAAACTCAGGTGAGAAGAGAAAAAGCAGGACTCACAGGCTGGGAGAGAACCACTCAGAAGAGATCAGAGAGCAAGGGCAGCCCAGAGTCCCCCGAGGATTACATAGCAGAGCTCCTTCATCCTACTTCTGAATGTGCTGTTCATTTGGGGAATAAAGCTATTATTCTAAAAAGACCCGAGTTGTGGTGGTCATTGCTGTAGCCCATGACCCAGGCTTCATGGTGTCTAGGACCTGTACTTAGAAGTAACCTTAACCCTAGGGTAGCAGGACACAGGGTATGGTGGTTGGTCCCTGTGACCGAGCTCAAGCAGGAAGAACAGAGATGCTATCAGTCAGGTAAGCACTTCTGGCACTGGATGCATCAAACTCCACTCTGCTCCTCTTCCAGGTGAGACTGGGGAACTTTTATTTCCCTACAAGGGGGGATTTGGTGCTTGTGACTGGGATATGGATTCTACAATTCTTGTGAATGGGGTTCTGCATGTTGCCATAATTCACTCTGTTCTGAAAAACTTTGCTAATTTTCATTCTATTTATACAGGAAATATTGGACACTACAGCTCTTCATTCCATGGCCAGTCACCTTGGGGTTTTCTCATGCCCCTGAGAATGTCTATGGGGAGTGATCATGGCATTTTCCCTAATGGTCTTGTGATTTTCTGCTCTGATAATTGTGTTTGGGAGAAACACTTAATTTTAACTGGTAACTCTCAGAGCCTTCACTTTACCATCATGGTCCCATGGGTCAGGTTCCTCCCCCAGTCTCTCACTGACAGATCGTCTATTATTTCTTCATCCTGAAAATCAGCATCACTACCCAGAAGACAGCCTGCAACACTGCCACCTGTGTGACTCATCGGCTGGCAGCCTTGCTGAGCAGATCAGGGGGTGTGGTGAAGAGCAACTTCATGCCCACCAATGTGGGTTCTAAAGCCTTTGGCCGGTGTCGCAGGAACCTTCAGGCCTGAGCAGGTAAATGCCTCTGAGAAGGTGAACACCCTTGTACTATGGGATGGGAGCGTGGATGACAGGGTAGTGCATGGCTGTAGTTTATGCTCTGAGCACCATTGGGCCCATATGGCTGACAAAAATCCACAGGGGAAAGTACCCACACCAGTATCTGGACAAAGGACACTGAGATCCAATAGCTGAAACCCTAAAATTTGGATTCTCTCTATTTTTTCAATCTCTCCTTGTAACACTGACATCATTAGATCAAGAAATATACATGCTGTTTATTTCAAACACTGTTCTTTATCATTGTAATTATGATTATTCCAGCAATTGAGTTTGAAAGATAATGACAATAACCTTTTAGAGTATACATTACAATGTTGTGTACCCCTGAATTAAGAGCATAGACTGGAGTTCAAAAACTGTTTGCCCTCTACTAGCTATATGACTATGGACCAGTCACTTAACTTTCTCTGAGCCTCAGTTTCCCCATCTGTAAATTGAGAGTTACAAAAGGACCCGCCTCCTAGCATTAATATAAACAGCAAATGAGATGATAGATATCAAGAGTCTGACAATTAATCAGTAACTAAACTCTAGCTGCTGTTTTCTTTTCCTTCTAGGTCACAATAAAGCCAAACTCTACATCTTTTAATGTATAATGAAAGCAATTTGTAGGAGAGGCTTCATGGAAGACATACATATTTGCATCCTTCTTGGTATTGAAAACTATCTTCTTTGTTTACAAGGAACTAAAGCTAAATGCAGAACAAGCTCATTGCAGTTACCTATTGTGCATCTTTTCCTTATTTCATTCTATATCCAATAAATATGACAGGATGTCTCGTTGGCTTATCTGGTAACAAATCTGGGCCCTGTCACCCATCCCGTTAACATTGGCAGCTCTGTTAAACCTCAGGGGGACATGAAATCACTGTCTCTTGGGCATCTGGGGACATATGGTAATGCTGTGCCTTGGTGGAACTATTTATCTAAAGAAATGTCAATGTTGTCATTTGTGAACTTCATCAAAATTAAAAATGTATTTTCGATACCCTTAAATGGAATCTCTGCTGCTGTTTTGCTGTTTTTTCCAGAAGAGCTTCAGGGGCCCGTAAGCGCTTTCCTGACCAGGCTAACTCATTTGAAGCAAAGGCAACACACTTGGGATAGATGCTCAGTGTCTTGTACCCTCAGTCTCTAGTAAAACATCCCTCATTGAAGTTAGCGCTTTGTGAGTGTCAAAGAAGACAATTCACATTTATTTTCAGAGTACCCTGGTCCCCAGCTCCAGAGGTTATCCATGCACTTCTCCTGGACTTAGGTTTACCCATTCCCCAACCCTGCCTTTCAGCCCCATGAGAGCCCCTCCCTGCGCCCCTTGGCCTGCAAAGCCCTTTAGAAATGATCGCTCAGAGCTTTACCTGGGGATCACTGACTAGCCAACCTAGAATATCATCTGTGCCATCCAATCCAAGTGGTGTATTATGTGAGGTGCACAGAATTGTCTTGCTCGAGGTCCAGCAATAAGTTCAACAGACACATTCATACACTTAACAAATGTTAATACTTACTGAGTGCCTACTATATGCTAGGACCTATTCTAGGCACTGGGAATAGAGCAATGAACAGAACAGAGTGGACAAAACTCCCTGCACTCAAGGAGCTCACATTCTAGTTGAAGGAGATGGAGATAATACATGCTGTGGAACCACAGACCCTCAGTACTGGAAGGAAGCTGGAATGTCATATGGTCTGATGCCCTTTTCAATGTAGGAATTTCCCAGCATCAACATCCCCAGCAGCCTCTGAGATTGCCAGCGACAAGCTGTTCAGTGTAACTCCCAAGTGACTGGGAAGCCAGTTTCACTGGTGGACAGTCATTTAATTAGGTTAATTAGGGAGTTAGCTAGTTATTTAGAAAAGTCAGCCCCTTCTACACCCTGACTCTAATTATTTTCTCAGGATCACATAGAAGTATGTCCCTTTCTTGCCTTCAATCTGTACTCAACACAATAGCTCCACCATCACTGTAAAAGGTGTTAAATAGATCAGACCAAATCTCTCTAATGTTCAAAACACTCCAATGACTCCCTGTCTCACTGAGCAGACACCTGAGGCATTGCAGTGGCATACAAGGTCCAAGTAGACTTCCCCTCCTCTCCTCTTGCCACCAACTTCATTACCTGCCTTGCCTCATCTACTCTCCATACTCCCACACAATGGCCTTTATACTATTCCTCGACTTCTATCTCCCACATTCAACCACTGCCAGTCTTTGCATGTGCTGGTACCTCTGTGAAGAACACTCATCCCTTGGCCCCTATCTCCTCTGGATCTTTACTCAAATGTGAAGATAGACCGGCCATGCTTTCCATCATTGCACCCCACCAACATACCCTATCCCTCTTGGTTGCTTAATTTTCTTCTCCTTACTGCTCACTTAATTATTACCTCCTACCATCCTATATATTTTGCTTGTTTGTTTGCTGTTTGTACCACTTGCAGCCATAAATGCAAGGATCACACAGGCAGGATAGGGCTATTTTGTTAATTGCCAACCTGCAGAACAGTGTGCCTGGCACAAGGCAGCATTCAATAAATATTTGTTGAATGAATGAGTGAATTAATGAAGTTGTCTTCTTCTCTTTATATTTGTGGTCAATACTCAGGTTCCCTCTGGCCTGATTTTACGCTAAGTTGTCCAAGGGCCTTAATCTTCAGCAATTACAACTCCTGGATAGTGAGTGAATCCCTCAACTGCCTGAAGACTTCAATGGCTACTAGGTTGTAAATAACTCAAGGCTTTCACGCAAACTATTTCTTCAGTTTGGACACACTTCTACTCCCAACTTTCTCCTCCACTTGATTAATTGTGACCACCTCTTCTTCTTCCTTTTCCCATGCAATAAACAAAGCAGACAGACAGAGTACTCTCTAGGTTTGACCACTATGACGAGGTAGGTAAGTTCAAATTGGGAGGGGAAATAGCAGGAAGATGGTTTTAGTCTTGGCTCCAAGGAAGCTTCACCAGTAATAAAGCTAGTATTGTATTGAATTCCTACCAGGACCCTGTGGATAGTTCTAAAATAACCCAGAATTCATGGACTGAAAGAGTGTGATTAATTTGAACCCTCAAACAAATCATAGGGTTCACTGGATCAAGAACCTAAGAATAGATCTAAGAAGTTCATAAGGCAATCAAAGCACAACATGGAGAAACCATGATTTTGGTGTGGCTGCAGCATCAACCTTACTACTCCATAGGCCATTGCAGAAAAATTGTGTCTTGTGATGCTAATTAAGGTCCATCCCAAGCAATCAGAGCCTCAGTATATATGCTGTGGCTGATTGAATCATTGCTCCCAATTCTTCACTATACTATAGCAGTATTATATACTCTCACCATTGCCATAGCTTCATGGGTGGGTGAAGTTGACTTCTCTACTCCTTGACTCTTGGCTCAGCCATGTTTTGGCTAATGGGACATTGATAGACATGGTGCAAGTGGAGGCTTGAAATATGTTATGTGCTTGGGTTTGGCGCTCTTGTGCTTCTGCCACTGTCATGAAAAGAATATGCCCCAGGTATCTGCCTTAGTCCATTTTGCATTGCAATTAGAAAATACCACAAACTGGGTAATTTATAAGGAAAAGAAATGTATTTCTTATAGTTCTGGGGACTGGGAAGTCCAAGAGCATGGTACTGGCATCTGGTGAGGGCCTTCTTGCTACATGATGACATGGCTGAGGACATCACATGGTGAGAAGGCAAGAGCATGTATTTCAGCTCTGATCTCTCTTCCTCTTGTTAAATTCTTCAGTTCTGTCATGGAAGCTCCACCTTGATGACCTCATCTAATCCTAATTACCTGGATCCATGCCCAACCAACACTGACTGAGATCAATCTCATCCAAACTAACCCACAAAACCCATGTGCAAGAAAAATAAATATTCGTTATTGTAAGCCGCTGAAATTGAGGTTGCTTACATGTAGTGTTGTTGTGGCAATGGTTAAGCGATTCATACAATTTGGGTGTGTTATGGATTGAATGGTATCCTCCCAACGTTTATATGTTGAAGCCCTAACTCCCAATGTGACTATATTTGGAGGCAGTGCCCTTAGGATGGTAAAAGAGGTCATAATGGTAGCACCCTAGTCTCACAGGAGTGGTATTCTTTTCAGGTTGGGGTTCTTTTAAGAAACAGACACAAGAGCACCTGCTCTCTCTCTCCATGTGTATGCAAACAGAGAAGAGGCCAAGAGAGGACACAGTGAGAAGGCAGCCATCTGCAAGACACAAAGAGAGCCACACTAGACACCAATCTTGATGGCACCTTGATTTTGAACTTACAGTCTCCAGAACTGGAGAAAATTAATTTCTGTTATTGAAGCCACTCAGCCTATAGTATTTTGTTATGGCAGCCTGAGCAGACTAATACAGGGGGTGTGAGTAGATAGAATTGTTTTTGCTACCACAACTTGTTTTTCCTCTTATTGGGCTCTAGGTCAATTTGCTGAATGTCCAATTTGTCAAATTTACTTGTTTCTTTTTACAAATACTTTTGTGATCATTTCCACTTTGTCTTCTTAAAATCATCTTAAAGGATGTTCATTTTGTCTCTGTTCCAGTCTTCTGTGTATACCTTAGAGAAATTAATTGTGGTTTTTCATATAATGGATATGCATAATATATTACACAGCACTGAATATAAATACATGTAGCAACTTTGAATAAATCTCATACATAATGTTGAGTGCAAAATAAAGCAAGTTGCAAAGGAGGCATACCAGATGATACCATTTGTTTTGAGTTTAAAGCATGCTTAACAATGCCATACATAATTTAAGGATACATGTATGTAGTAAAAATATAAAGTCATGTGTAGAGGACATTTTGTCTGGAACGGTTCCTTGTTGTTTTTCTCAGAATATGCCAGTGGGCTTGAACGCGAGTCCAGGGGCGCCCTGATCTGAAAACAGTAAGGGATAGAGAGTTCAGGATGAAAACAT